ACTAGAATTTACGCGTACTAGTACGGCACCAACCCCTGGCGTGCAAGCCATACTAGTAAGGCACTGACCCTGAAAGGGTTAATATTGTACTAATTAATTATTGTTAATAAATTCTAAAGGGAACTGAAGCACGCTCATTTATTGATTGTAATTATTAATATTATAATTTTTTAGGAACTGGAGCACAGATCCAATTCCCTAGATCAAGAGCCCCTCACCAGCATCAAGGAACCTTGATGCTGGTGAGGGACTTTTGATCTAGGGAATTGTATCTGTGCTTCATTTCTCTAAATAATAATAATAATTTTAATAATAATAATGAGCTACCTTCAGTTCCCTAAATTAATAATAATAATCATAGGTTGGTAGACAGCAACCACCCAGGGAGGTACTACCTTCCTGCCAAGTGAGTGTAAAACGAAAGCCTGTAATTGTTTTACATGATGGTTGGATTACTGGTGTCCATTTTTCTGTCTTATAAACATGCAAGGTTTCAGGTACGTCTTGCTACTTCTACTTACCCTTAGGTCACGCTACACATACATGGTTTTTTTTTTTTTTAACAAGTTTCGGCCGTTCCACCGCACCTGAGGCAGGGTGACCCAAAAAAGAAAGAAAATCCATCCCCAAAAAGAAAATACTTTCATCATCATTTCAACACTTTCCACCACACTCGCACACATTATCACTGTTTTTGCAGAAGGTGCTCGAATACAACAGTTTAGAAGCATATACGTATAATATCACAACATATCCCTCCACACTGCCAATATTCCCAAACCCCTCCTTGGAAAATGTGGGCAGGCATTGTACTTCCCCATTTTCCAGGACTCAAGTCCCGACTATATGAGAAATAACCGGTTTCCCTGATCCCTTCACTAAATATACCTGCTTCACACAAGCCATATTAAAAACACAACCCCTCTGAGTTTTCTCTATTTTCTTACTAGTTCTTCTTCTTGGTTCTATTTCCTCTTATCTCCATGGGGAAGTGGAACAGAATTCTTCCTCCGTAAGCTATGGCCGTGTCATAAAAGGCGACTAAAATTGGGCAGGAACAAGGGGCTAGTCACCCTTCTCCTCTATAAATTACCAGTGCAAACCCCAACCCTCCCCGGAATTCAATATTAATCCTCCTGAGAGCTCATCGATTACGAAAATATCGAAAAAGCGAATCAATTTTCCCCATAAGAAATATGGAAATCAAATTTAATCCGTGCAAGACACCCAAAAGTATGAAAAAAAAATATTTACAACCAATGAAAATATTAAGTTTTAATGCTAATAGAATAATTAACAATAACCACATAACAATTAGAATAATTGACACTTACACACTTTAATGCAGATCTGGCGAAGATTGATGGATGGGAGGAGGGGAAGAGAGTGGATGGTGTTAGTGTTAGAAGGGGAATCCCCTTCCATTAGGACATGAAGGTAGCAAGTCCTTTTCTGGGGTTACCTTCCCTTCTTCTTTTAATGCCACTAGGACCAAAGCTTGAGTCACTGGACCTTTCTGTCCGCACAACACATCTGTCCATATAGGCCTGTACCTCCCGTCTTGTATGACATTCCTAAAGTTTTCACAACATTGTCAGTGTAATAGTCACCACACGGCTTGCAATAAACTGGTGTTAGGTGCTTGGTCATCCAAAAAAGGTTTCACTTTAAGCCACATTGCACACATTTCCTTAATCTTTGAAGTAGGCAACTTCTTAAATTTCTCTATCCCCTCCTCCGAAGCAGTTTCCTCAGGTCTGGCCTCTTGCTGTTGAAGATGATCTAGCAGCTCATCAGTGGTTAGTTCATCATTGTCCTCCTCCACCAACTCTTCCACATCCCACTAACCTCCAACCCCAAGGACTTTCCCAATGCTGCAATGGATTCCTCAACTGGCATAGGCTTCTCAGGGTTAGCTTCAATCCTTTCAAAATCCCTTTTGTCTACACATCTGGCCACAGTTTTTTCAAGCAGAGTTCAAGGTCCTCTTCGTCACTCCCTCCCAAGCCGTATCTATAAGGTTTATACAATTGAGGATATTAAAGTGATCCTTCAGTCGAGTTTCTGTGGTCACTACAAAGCACTTTTGAAATATAGCTTTTGTGTACAGTTTCTTGAAGTTGGAAATGACCTGCGTGGTCCATCGGCTGGCAGGAAAGGAGTGTATTAGGAGAGGCAAAAACTTGACATTAATGAAGCTCATGTCCCCACAAAGTCACTCTGCCAAGTCTGTAGGATGACCAGGGGCATTGTCTAATACCAGGAGGCACTTAAGGTCTAATTTCTTTTCAATTAGGTAATTTTTCACATTGGGGGTAAATGCATTGTGTACCAGTCATAGAAAAGTCCTAGTGACCCATGCCTTACTGTTTAGCCCTCCACAGCACACACAAATTACTGATGAACAATTGTTTTCTGAAGCACTTTGGGATTAAAGAGTGCTACACCAATAAAAGCATCATTTTGCAATCACCAACTAGTCAATTAGCACACATCAACAGAAGTAAACCAGTCTTTCAAGGCTTATGTACCTGGAGTGCCTTTTCATCCTGAGTAAAGTAGGTCCTGCTTTGGCATTGTTTTTCTCTCTCCAAAACAGGTCTCTTGTCTCTCTTTGGTCCGCTCTCTTTCTCTCTCTCATCACGGTGTTTCAGATTTAAATTCTTTACTGTCCTATGTAATCCTTGAAATTCCTTCACATATTTTTCACTGCTTTTTTGGTTCGACCTGGCAGCCTTCACCATGCCTAATCACACCTATGTATGCCACAAACGATTCTTAAAACTTTCACTCGCGCTTCAACCTTTTGCTGGGCCTTGAGAATCTCTCTACTCACGTCAGCACTAGAGTTGCAGCACTTTCTTTACAAGAATATTCATGCAACTGCCTAGCCTTTCACAAATGATCGCTTGAGAGATGCTACGGGGGGGGGGTCCTGCTAATCTGTTGTTTCATTTACCACAACACCAATAACGTTCCTCAACATATTCTAACAATTGCGGTCCGATGAAGTATATCGAAGTCTATGCTCTCAGTTGCACCTTTTGGCAAGACCAGCTCCTGGATGGCCGTTTTCCGCTGGTCACTAATAGTAGAGATTGGTTGATTGGGGTTTACTATACAACCCGAACCTGACCAGCTCCGACACCCCGCACCTCCACTTTCGTACTTTGCAATTATCTCATTCTTCATTTCAATAGTCATTAGCACCTTTTTTTCTCAAAAGGTGGCACTAGAAGCTTTCTTGGGGTCCATGGTGACTTATTTTTCAGAAACAAGCACCAAAAACAGTGATAAATGTGTGAATGTAAACGAAATGTATCCTTAGATGCGGCGTACACAGGCGGCTTGTAAACACTGCACATACCGGGCAGTCAGGCCACACGTGACACGTCTCCGTAACGAATCGCATCGAAAATACAGTGGATCATCCGGTTAAAACGATTTTTTTTCTCTCCAGAAGTATGTTCAGGTGCCAGTACTGACCGAATTTGTTCCCATAAGGAATATTGTGAAGTAGATTAGTCCATTTCAGACCCCCAAACATACACGTACAAACGCACTTACATAAATACACTTACATATTTGGTCGCAGTCAGAGGAGGGGTGATCGTTATGCGGGGGTCCACTGTACTGGGTTTTCAATCGGATACCGAGGCAAAAATTTTGCGTTAAAATGCATTGAATACCAGATTTATCGAATACCGATGCCATTGAATCCCGGGGGTCCACTGAACTAAATTTAAAAAGAGAAACTTTAGTTTTTCTTTTTTTGGGCACCCTGCGTTGGTGGGATACGGCTGGTTTGTTGAAAGAAAAGAATACAGTGGGCCCTCGACCAACGATATTAATCCGTTCCTGAGAGCTCATCGTTAGTCGAAATAATCGTTAGTCGAGTTTATTTTCCCCATAAGAAATAATGGGAATCAAATTAGTCTGTTCCTGACACCCCAAAGTATTGAAAAAAAAAAACTTTACCCACATGAAAAATAAATATTTATATACAAACTGAAGAAGACATGTACATTACATGACACCTTTACCTTTGATTGGAAAATCTGGTGATGATTTGATGGGATGGGTTAGAGTTTAGGAACGGAATCCCCTTCCATTAGGACTTGAGGTGGCAAGACCTTTCTGGGGTTTCTTCCCAGGATTCTTTTAATGCCACTAGGATCAGCTTGAGAGTCACTGGACTCTTCGGCACAACATATCTGTCTCATAGAGGCCTGTAACCTCTCGTCCTTAGACTTTCCCTAAGTGGTTCACAACAGTGTCATTGTAACAGGTGTAATAAAGTTGGTAGAAATTACCGACAAAATGTAATAAAAGGACACAAGTGCAACTAATGTGTGACATTTTTATCTAATATATAACGTTCGCGTCTCCAGGAGCTTTATCAAGCCATTACAAACAATACAAGACACAGAGGTATATTATATAGGCTCAGAGTGATGTGCGATATCTAGTGTTAGTAGTAATAGTAGTTGTAGTAGTAGTAGTAGTAGTGACAAAAGTTGTAGTAGTAGTAGTAATACAATATGGTAGAGCAATTAATTCGTACATGAGTAAAAGGATATAAAAGCTATTACTTGGGTAACATAAAAATAGGTTGGACAAATATAGACTGGATAGAGGCAGCCTGTTTCAGTGTTCACTCTCTGTAATGTGCTTTGTGTAGTATAACAGGAGAGACTATGTGATGGTAGTTTGCATTGACGTGGAGGAAATTGCACTTATGGGATACTAGGGTACCATTATTTTAATGTACAGCAACAGAAGCACATCTACGTAGGTGTATTTGTTTTTACTATATCACAATCCTTTCTTATTTCTTTCAGGACCTCAAGGGTATACAAAGTAAGAGCACAAGAGATACCTATGAAGGATGATAAATTGAGGGATAATATAGGAAGCTATAAAGTGGCTTTGATGAAAGTAAAGAGCAATGATCAGTTGCATTTATAACATGTTTCTAATTTATTGTTTCTTTATTTCAGGAAATTTTTGTGGATGCCACACTGGCCTGTGGTGGGAAGCTTTATGCAGCACATAAATTTGTTCTCAGTACCTGTAGTGACTATTTCAAGCAGATGTTTACTAAAAATCCTAGCAAACATCCAATAGTGTTTATGAAAGATGTGACATCGCGTGATCTCGAAGCCCTTTTGGACTTCATGTATAATGGTGAAGTGAATGTTCCTCAGTCTAGTCTAGGATCTCTAATAAAAACAGCAGAAGGACTACAGATAAAAGGTTTAGCAGTGCCTGATGATCCGCCTGCTCCGAAAAGAGAAAGAGATAGAGAAAGAGAAAAACGTGAAAGTAAAACGCAACTTGAACACCTTAGTCCCCCTGCCAAGAGACCAAGACCAAGAGAACGATCTCCTCCCCATTCATCTCCATCCCAACCTCCGGTTTCACATCCATTAACGTCACACATCCCAACCACACCTTCAGTATCCAGATCTCGGTCCCCATTACCCCCAGCCCCTTCTGTTGGTGCTTCTCAAGTTGGTATGCCCCCAGTGGAAGCAACTTTAGATGAAGACAGTAGAACAAGTGTTCAGAGTGGTGTCAGTGGACTCAGTGAGCAAAATTCAAGCACAACACCTAGTCTAAGTTCTAAACAAGGCAGCAGTCAAGCTCAAGTTAACACTGGTGAAACCACCTCGCACACAGACCAATTAAACCCCAGTCATACTGGAGAAGAACCCTCCCCAGGACCCTCAGGGATCCATAAACCACAGCAGTCAAAAGAGGAACCTGAATTTGTGAGTGTTTGTTGTCCCTTGTAGTGAAATATTGGCTATAGTGTAATAGTGAGTAGTGTTTGATAATTATAACTAGCAGTTGTCACTATTTATACTGTTACCTGTTATATGCCTCTACTTCACAGGAAATAAAACAAGAGGATGTGGTAGACCTAGGTGAAGATGAAGAAGGGGATTGGGGGGTAGAAGGGGATGGGGGAGGGGGAGACTCCTCAATGGGGTCAGAAAACCCCCCCAATTTCCCTGAAGTAATGTTACCCCACACAGATGGCACCATGCCTCCAACCGGAGATCCAGCAATGGTGAGTGTTCCATTTAATGTATTTCATTTTTTAATGTGCTAACAGGAAGCAAATAGTAGCACCCTATTGTCCTTCAGGCTAGATGTTAACTAATAATTTGTGATATCTCGTAGACTGTGTGTACGTGTATGTGTGTGTGTGCACGTGCATATTTATATCTGCACAGATTTTAATTAGAAAATACTTCCTATGAAAGGCTTTAGAGAAGGATAATAGTTTAATTTTTTATATAAAAAATAGTTTATTAGGAGTAGCAGTGTGATAATAGCACAAGGGGCACTAAGTTAGGGTGGTAAGAAAACATCTTAAAAAATTGTTTAGGAAAAGGTAAAGCAAATGAACATGGAAGGTGAATTAACTGTAACCATATGCTAATAATAGTGTGGTACTGTGATGCATTAAAGATTATAATTTACCACATAAAATCAGGAGGAAATTAGGTAAAAAAAATTTGAATAAGTTTAAGTTTTTTTTATTGAAACAAATGGACTGGTATCAGATTAACGCTTTCAGAGTTTCGGCCGTACTAGTATGGGTTACGTGCCAGGTTCCTTGATGTACTAGAACTCAGAAATTCTAGCGCCTTCAAATCTAGTGAGAGAAAACTGGTAGGCCTACATATGAAAGAATGGGTCTATGTGGTCAGTGTGCGCAGTATAAAAAAAATCCTGCAGCACACAGTGCGTAATGAGAAAAAAAAAAACTTTGACCGTGTTTTTGGATTAAAACAGCGACTTCGCACTGTATTTTCGTATGGTATTTATTGTTGTATTCTAGTTTTCCTGGTCTCATTTGATAGAATGGAAGACATATTGCAGAAATTGAGATGATTTTGAGTGGTTTTACAATGAAAAGTACCTTGAAATTGAGCTCAAAGTTGCAGAAATGTTTGATTTTTACCAAAGTTCAAAAGTAAACAAATCATGCTAAGCATCCAATACATGTCAACTGGTGTGTCTAATATTCTTTCACAAGTGCCCTGATATTATTTATACCATTTCTACACTAATGCAGTAGTCTGCATAACAGTAAATCATCTATTTTTTGCAAGAATAAAAATTCAAAATGGAAAGCAAAAGAATGTTAGAGGGGCCTGGGGACATGACTAATGAACAGAGGAAATGTTATTTTAGTGCCAGGAATGTTTTTCTTTTTTATTCTGGACCCTATTTGGAAGTTGGCATTTTTTGAAATTTGTGTGAAATTGGGAAAATGGCTAAATTCTGATCACTGTGTTGGATAGTTGAAATCGGTAAATGGGTGGTTTCTTGTACTCATTCGATAGAAAAAATGGAGTTCTAGTGAAATAGGTATGATTTTTGTCGACTAGTACAGTGGACCCCCGGTATTCGATATTAATCCGTTCCTGAGAGCTCATCGAATACCGAAAATATCGAAAAGCGAATCAATTTTCCCCATAAGAAATAATGGAAATCAAATTAATCTGTGCAAGACACCCAAAAGTATGAAAAAAAAAATTTTTTTACCACATGAAATATTAATTTTAATACAAACTGAAGAAAACATGCACAGTTACATGACACTTACCTTTATTGAAGATCTGGTGATGGTTGATGGGAGGGGAGAGTGTGGATGATGTTAGTGTTTAGAAGGGGAATCCCCTTCCATTAGGACTTGAGGTAGCAAGTCCTTTTCCGGGGTTACTTCCCTTCTTTTAATGCCACTAGGACCAGCTTGAGAGTCACTGGACCTCTGTCGCACAACAAATCTGTCCATAGAGCTCTGTACCTCCCGTTCCTTTACGATTTGTCTAAAATGGGCCACAACATTGTCATTGTAATAGTCACCAGCACGGCTTGCAATAGCTGTGTTAGGGTGATTTTCATCCATAAAGGTTTGCAGTTCAACCCACTGTGCATACATTTCCTTAATTTTTGAAGTATGCACAAGGTTCCACAACGGGCAAAAGGCTTCTCAGGGTTAGCCCCAACCCCTCAAAACTTTTTTAATTTTCCATACAATTCTCACCCTTTTTCCCAGGTTGGCACTAAAGCTTTCTTGGGCCCATGTTACTTTTTTTGCAGAAACGCACCAAAAACAGTGATAATATGGGTAATATGGAAGTACCGAATGATCCTTAAGCGCGCACACGGGTGGCTTTTAAACACGGCACACAAGGGCATTCGGCCCCACGTGGACACGTCTCTACGAACGTATCAATACGGGTTTCAATCAAACCGAGGCAAAATTTTGCATTAAAATGCATCAATACCGGGGTCCCTGTACACTGGAATTTGGGTGAAAAGAGCTCAAAGTGGGGAAACGCCCAAAGCGTAAAAATCGTTGAGAGCACTAAAATTCGAGAGCAAATTCCAACGTTTTTCCCGAAATTTCGTACTTTTGGGGTCATTATGATCGGGGAAAAAATTTCTACTTTCAAAAAAAAAAATAATTTTTTTTTTTTTGAAATTTGGGGGACTCTGAGAGGGCCTGTGGACCCTGAAAGGGTTAAGTACAGGTCGAACACAGACTTTCCGGACAGTGGTGGTCTGGAACCTCTTATAATCCATACAAATTTATGAGCAGGAACTTGAAATTCCCACGGCCACTAGACTAGTTTGCTGGGCAACCCACAGATGGCGTTGAGTGTAGCCGTGCTCACTTGGATTGTTTACACTGCCCCTGCCGGTGGGGGCACCCCAATTCCGTGAGTTTCTAAGCTTATTTTGATTAAATTAACCCCAGCTATGGCTTCTAATGGAGATAGAGGGAGACTGGTGGTGGCAAACCTGAACACCAGTCCGTATTGATTCAAGAGAAAGTTGAACTGGTGAGAAAACTGGACTATAGTGCTTCAGTGCGTAAGATCTGTGAAGATTTTTGTCTTGGTTAATCAACTGTTTATATTGACCAATGTGACAACCCCTAGTCTGGAAAAATAAGTCATCCAGAAAAGCTTTGGAACCAGAGGTTCTGGAAAATTGATGTTGTATCTGTATTAAGATAGAGAATTCAAAATTAACCAGATACTGTATGGATTTGTAAGTTAAAAACTGAGTAGGGGAGTTAGTAGATGGGGAGATGGAGGTTTAGGGTAGATGGCAAGAATATTTTGAGGAACTTTTAAATGTTGACGAAGAAAGGGAAGCGGTAATTTCATGCACTGGCCAGGGAGGTATACCATCTCTTAGGAGTGAAGAACAGGATGCGAGTGTGACGGAGGTGCATGAGGCATTACGTAGAATGAAAGGGGGTAAAGCATGTGGGACTGACGGGATCATGACAGAAATGTTAAAAGCAGGGGAGGATATAGTGTTGGAGTGGTTGGTATTTTTTTTAATGTATGAAAGAGAGGAATGTACCTAGGGATTGGCAGAGAGCATGTATAGTCCCTTTATATAAAGGGAAGGGGGACAAAAGAGATTGTAAAAATTATAGAGGAATAAGTTTACTGAGTATACCAGGGAAAGTGTATGGTAGAGTTATAATTGAAAGAATTAGAGGTAAGACAGAATGTAGGATTGCGGATGAGCAAGGAGGTTTCAGAGTGGGTAGGGGATGTGTAGATCAAGTGTTTACATTGAAGCATATATGCAAACAGTAATTAGATAAAGGTAGGGTAGTTTTTATTGCATTTATAGATTTAGAAAAGGCATATGATAGAGTGGATAGGGGAGCAATGTGGCAGATGTTGCAAGTACATGTATATGGAATAGGTGGTAAGTTACTAAATGCTGTAAAGAGTTTTTGTGATGATAGTGAGCTTAGGGTGTGTAGAAGAGAGGGAGACTACTTCCCAGTAAAAGTAGGTCTTAGACAGTGATGTGTAATGTCACCATGGTTGTTTAATATATTTATAGATGGGGTTGTAAAAGAAGTAAATGCTAGGGTGTTCAGGAGAGGGGTGGGATTAAATTATGGGGAATTAAATACAAAATGGGAATTGACACAGTTGCTTTTTGCTGATGATACTGTGCTTATGGGAGATTCTAAAGAAAAATTGCAAAGGTTAGTGGATGAGTTTGGGAGTGTGTGTAAAGGTAGAAAGTTGAAAGTGAACATAGAAAAGAGTAAGGTGATGAGGGTATCAAATGATTTCGATAAAGAAAAATTGGATATCAAATTGGGAAGGAGGAGTATGGAAGAAGTGAGTGTTTTCAGATACAGTGGACCCTCGCCTAACACCATTAATCCGTTCCTGAGAGCTCAATGTTAGGCGAAATTATCGTTAGGCAAATTAATTTTCCCCATAAGAAATAATGGACATCAAATTAATCAGTGCAAGACACCCAAAAGTATGAAAAAAATTTTTTTTTTACCACATGAAATATTAATTTTAATACACACAAACTGAAGAAGACATACACAGTTACATGACACTTACCTTTGAAGATCTGGTGATGATTGATGGGATGGGAGGAGGGGAGAGTGTGGATGGTCTTAGTGTTTAGAAGGGGAATCCCCTTCCATTAGGACTTGAGGTGTCAAGTCCTTTTCCGGGGTTACTTCCCTTCTTCTTTTAATGCCACTAGGACCAGTTTGAGAGTCACTAGACTTCTGTCGCGCAACATATCTGTCCATAGAGGCCTGTACCTCTCGTTCCTTTATGACTTTCCTAAAGTGTTTCACAACATTGCCAATGTAATAGTCACCAGCACGGCTTGCAATATCTGTGTGAGGGTGATTTTCATCCATGAAGGTTTGCACTTCAAGCCACTTTGCACATATTTCCTTAATCTTTGAAGTAGGCAACTTCTTCAATTTCTCTCTCCCCTCCTCCGAAGCAGTTTCCTCAGGTGTGGCCTCTTGCTGTTGAAGATGATCTAGCAGCTCATCAGTGGTTAGTTCTTCATTATCCTCCTCCACCAACTCTTCCACATCCTCCCCACTAACCTCCAACCCCAAGGACTTCCCCAATGCCACAATTGATTCCTCAACTGGCATACGCTTCTCAGGGTTAGCCTCAAATCCTTCAAAATCCCTTTGGTCTACACATTCTGGCCACAGTTTCTTCCAAGCGGAGTTCAAGGTCCTCTTAG